GGGGGGGGGGGGGGGGATACAACCACAAAGCAATGGTTCCATGATAAATAGAAACCCTTTTTTATTGTGTACAAGAAACTATATAATATAAAATGTCCACTTTTATGCAGCATTAGCAACAATTAAAATCAATATACTGGTACTAGTATGTCTCTGATCCCTGACCTCTGAGGTTTGATTAAAAGACCCAAGTACATTTGTTATTCACGCAGGATCTTAATTGTACCACACGTAATTGATCAGTAAGTCAGACACTCATGTCAGCATTCATTCAGCTTTAGTATGTCAAAATATAGATTTTTTTTCTTAAATGATGTTTTATATGATCCATATCACAAAAAACTGATAATCTGGTAGCATTTCTCAAGAGACTTCTATAATGTAGTAGATTTAAATAGTTACTCTGTAGAATCCGAAAGTGTTTAGAGAAGGAAGAAAGAAAGGAAGAAAGAAAACAGAGTGAGAAAGAAAGAGTTGTTTTGTCTCCACTAATAATAACTGTAGCACTGGTGCTACATCAATTAGATAGAGACAGAAAATCAATACTATGATATATAAAAAGGGCTACAAGGAAGACATCAAAATATCATTATAGCTAGTGCTGCACAAGCACAGCTTATAACCAAATGCTCTGCTTCACACTATGGTTCAAATTCTAAAGCCATTCATTCATACATTAATTCAATCATTCATGAGCAATCCATCAATTCATTCCTTATTTGGTTCATTTATCTATTCATTACACAGGTTCACATTTTCTTACTATCAATAATCATTAGTTCAATTTATGAAATATCTAAAATGTGTATGTGGTAAAGCCCCTATAGTTGTTATGTGGGCTTGTGTTAACTTGGATACTCGGATTTAATATGCCGACTCACACCACCTTCTAAATTGGGGCATTGGTAATATTTGATAGTCAGCATCAAATCCGTACTTGGGTTTTTTTCGTGAATTTAAATATTGCAGGTTTTTCTTCTGATACATCTTTCTGACAGAGGGTCAAAATTTGTTCTACAATCTTTTAAATTTTCCCTGCATTGTTACAGCGTTATGGAGAGTGTCAGGAAACAACAATCAAAGGTTGGTTAGATAAAGAAAATAATGTTCACCCCAGGTAAATTTCAGCTTTTAGCAGGGAAAATTCTACAATCATTCACTGACAACAGACAAAGAATATACACAACGTACTGTACATCGCTAATTAAAGTAAGTATATATTAAATTGTTATTTAATTAAGAAAAAAGTATAAATATAAAAAACAAAACATTTTGTCAGAAAGATCAATGAGAAATGCTTATTCAACAACATTATTGATTTCAACCTCAATGTAATGCTTGGATATAGACCAGTATAATAATGATCCGATAACTGCGAGTGATTACCAAAGTGTAGTATTGATAATGAGCTATCGTTTCGTGACTACGGACAAAATGGTTTGTCCAACAAAAACACAATATTTTATGCACATCAAATCAAAATCAACAGATAAAACAACTTTATCAATCCCTTTCTTTCACTTACCCGATCTAAATCCCACGAAAAGGGCAAGAAACGGCATGAAAAGTAGTAGCATCGAAAGAAACACAACATTTTTCAGCCGGAAGCGCATGTGGTTACTTATAAAATTGGGAATGACAGTTCATCCGTTAACCGGAAAAGAAAATGCCCTCTCTTCGGATCATCTTTTTCATGTTACAGTTAGAGCAAAGCATTGCTGGTGCACTAAAAGCCGATTGGGTATGGATCTAGGACCTAATAAAATATACATGGTTAAATACCATATACCTTATTATCACTATCCTAGTCTAGCACTAGAAGACAAAGGCGATATTTCTTTAGCTGCTAATCAAGCTAATTATCAAACTACTTACGAGCAAGTCTGTGAGTGGAAGTGTGAAACGAGGCTATTTGTATGTTAAATGCCTTACCAACGCAAAATTAAATTCGACATAATTCGCAAATTTACGAGATAAATTTCATATTTAACGTACGTCTCTCACCTAACCAACTTGAGTTTCAAAGGACAATGGAAATCGCCTAATTAGTAGGCTACTTGTGGAAATGTGAGTTTTCAGTGTCGTCATGTGAACCACAAGAACCTCACATAAATGCCAGACGATAAAACAAATAGGTAAAATTTTGTAAATTTCGGATGATATTTGTACCCTAGTCACAATTACGTGGGCGTCTTTTATTTGCTTAAACCACAATGATAACAATGAAATAGAAATATCATTTTATAAAGAATTAACCAAGTCAACGAGTTTTAACTTTTAAATGAAAATCTGAATATTTTACCGAGTTTCCATTATAATAACGGTAATTTATCCTCTGTGAGGTTCGTTTCATTTTACTGTCAGTATTCAACCCTCATTAGGCAGAACTTGACCAAGGTGACGTAACAGGCCTAGGGCGCGTGACAATACAAATCAGGCCCTATCGCTGCTTAGGGCTACGCTAGATATCGTGTGATATACGAGGTAGGATAGCGCTCTATACCCCGCACTTCCCGACCAATCAGATTCGAAAAATTTTCTCAGAGACGTGATGATTGGCCACACACGATGCCATAGATGTGTTCTTGCACAACATTTCGCACGTTCGCATCTAAAGCAATTGGTCACTGAAAGTCTTGATCTGCAATACTCGGTGAATGATCTGCGTCTCGGGCCAGAAAATCGTTTTCCCTTTAATAACTTCAAAACATCACGTTTGTTTCAATTTGCTTTTGACAATGAAAATATCCGAAAAAAAAAAAAAAAATATATATATATATATATATATATATATATATATATATATATATATATATATATATATATATCCAATCATCCATAAAACTATGATGTAAAAGGGCCGAATCCAAAATTGCTTTGTTTTTATTGACACCGCTCCCCTCCCCCCCCTCCTAAAATATACAAGTCATTAAATTATAAAACCAATTTACAATTACAAAATCAATGTGTTCAGAATAAAGTTATCGTACTGGCAAGATCGATCTTTCTCGAGGCCTACTACATGTAAAACACGTAGGCCTATAGGAAAGAGTTTTCCTGTGTCCAAAATACGTAAAATACTAAATAGATTTAAATATAAATGAGTTCAAAAGACGCTGTAGCTATTCACATTCGTTAGCTCATTATTGCTTCATAACAACGGATCTTGGTCAATAACAGCAGTGTTGGTCTACCTTTCAAAGTTAATAACCATCGTTTATCAGCAACTTAATTCAGCGAGAAACTGGCTTTCGGTGACACGCTTTTCCATTTAAAACATGGTGCATCTCATACGTTATGTAAGGGTCCTTTCCTTCCTTGATGCACTTATGTCATACGGTAAGTGTGTTTTAACGTGCGTAAAACGTTATCTATTTTATCCAGAAAGGTGAATGGAAGCGTGACTTTGTTTGGTCCATTGAACATATTGTTTAGCTTAGTATATCTCCCGAGGCCAGAATGATAAGTGAAAGTGGTAACAGCTAGGTTAGAAAATATCAATTACACACAAAATACATCGGCACAAAACGGACATGCCTCACTTCAGATCGGATTATTTGGACATTGGTCGATAAATAACCGTACATATGTAATCTCTACCATTCACGTGGAGTAGGCACGCATCCTAACAATTAAGGTTTGAATCCGGCATTATTCAATTACCGACACTAGTAACAGAAGTTGATCAACGCATTTAGTTCACGGAAAAAAACCCTGGTCTGGTGTTACCACTTTGGGATCTGGGCTATTCCATATAAATCAAACATGTTGATTTTTGCAACGCAGACCTCTGGAACCCATCATTTTATTTCTAAGCATACAATGCCTATTCGTACAGCACACAGTATAGCCAAACAAAAAACAAAAAAGGATTTTCCAGAAAAACTTACGGTATTTTCTTTTGTCGCCATTGTATGTCAAATCCAAAACTGCTGATACAATTACGTTCTTCAAACTTGTTTTCGAGTACCAGTAGCCTAAGTTTAACCCTCTTAAATGTATTTATCAACATTATGAGAATGACTCAAAAACTAAACACTAATTGAGAACTTAAACACGACTATGTAGACCGTAACTCTGGCTTTGGTTTACCTGGTTATATTAACTAACAAGCGTAGATATTTAAAGCAAGTGTTGGGGCCCAGCTCTGAATCGTGTTATTTTGGTAAAGTGGAATCTAACTAGGGCATGAGCCGACCACCCCCAACACAATTGTCATGCTATATTTGTTGTATAAGAACGTCTAACCCTTATCAGAAGCTAAAACAATGGTGTAAGAGTTAAAGGCGGGCGTTCGAAGGGGGTTCTGCCACGTCTCGAAAAAAAGGGACGTCCTGCGTGTAACACAGACGATATCACCACTACACTATAGGATCTTCTTTGTTTCATCAATTTATAAAAATGTTATAATAAAGATATAAATTGTGGAAAAACACTGGTCCTGCCAGGTTTCGAACCTGGGACCTTATGCGTGTAAAGCAGACGTGATGACCACTACACTACAGAACCCCATATTCTAATTGTGATTATGGGTATTTGTAACTGAACAATAAGACTACTAATAATAAAGATTACAATAGTCCAGAATACAGGTTCTGCCACGTGTGTGTTACAATGGTTATACAAGGGTTTGAACATGGCACCTTCTGCGTGTAAAGCAGTTGTAGTAACCAATGCACTTTAAAAGCCCGCATGTCATTTTTTTCATGCAGTCGACCGGTGACAAGTTACTTAAAAAAAAAAGAACACACGCAATATGTGCAGCAAACTGACTTTAACTTGTTGACATTACTCATGAGCGGTAGATACCAAACCGCTAATAATAAAGATATCAATAGTCCAAAACGTTCCGCAAGAAAACGCAGTAGATACTCCAGCGCAGTATACTACTGCAATCATACTGCAAACATGCTTCAAATCTGCTTCGATTTGGGAGCTAATTAGCATATTTGAAACATGTTTCTATCATGCTGCTAATCTACTGCATTAATGCTCCTCTCTGTACAAACCTATGTACTTTTTGGAGTAGAATTGCAGTAGGCTATGCCGCATTTCTATTGCAAATATGCTCCACACCACTACTGCGTTAATGCTTTTTTGCTACTTCGATACTACTGCATTTTCGTGCGGGTTGGTTCTGACAGATTTCGAACCTGGATCCTTCTGTGTGTTAAGCAGACCGTGATGACCAGTATAAAACCCTTTTTCTTTACAACATACATGGGTATTGAAGACTGAACAACGTGAATGTTAATGAGAAAGATAACAATAGTCCAAAATACTGGCTCTGCCAGATGTGTGTTAAAACAGGGTTTTGAAGCAGCTGTCATAAACCATACACTTCAAAAGCCTGCTTGTCACGGTTTATTCGTGCGTATGTGATTTCCACTTAACTATAGAAACCTGTTCGATAAAGTTTTATTCGTGCCATTAACATGCCGATAGTTAAATGCACAAAATGTTCAGAATGTGCAGAACCTTACCTGTCAAAAGCATTCAAATTTAACAAAATGGCTGTTAGTAAGAACCGAATGACTATTCTCCAAAACAGTAATCACTCAATACCATTCCATCATGGTTAAAATGAACAGCACCACACCATCAATATCCACATTATGACGAATTGTAGCAGGACAAATGTACAAGGAAATGGAATATAAAAATCGAGTCGCAACTTGTATTGGTATTGCAATCCTCAAAACATCACGTTGTGTGATGATCAATTCCAATCGGGATGGACGTTTTCTCAACGGCAAGTGGTAAACTGTACTAAAGCCGCCCTTCGTGTGATTGAACTGTGATTAGAAACCAACCGTCTCAACGTTGATGATGAGGGTAGTCATTCCTCTACAGGTACGAAGAGTCCATTTCACATGCCGGATTCTGCAAAATGCAATTGGTTTACACGCAACAGATAAAGCTGTCATATAGTAAGGCTGTTAACGGCTTTACAGACATTGTAAAATATATTTTGCTTAAAATCTACACCTATTTCTGAAACAACGACTCCATATTTCACATGAGCATTGACAGACCGTGGGTTAAAGATTCCAATCTTTTTAAAAACCTTTTACTTTTTACAGAATACAGATCCACTCTATTATTGGCAATCGTTGAATTGGTTTACAGGGGCAAAATTTTCCGATCCGATATTTTGCAGTAAGCGTCCGACTTGTACAACGTGGTACATGTAACCGTCTAACAACTATATTTTTCATTTATCTCCAAACTCAATTGATTAATTTAATCCAAATCTAAATCGTCAAAAAATATAATATTTATATGTGCAATGTAAGCATTCACTAACCGTCAACTTTAACATTATTCGCCACACCTTTACTTTGGGAAGTCTTTGGCTTTCTTTTTCTGCAGCACTGGATTATCTTGAAAATAATGTATTCACCGAATTCCATTAGGGTCAGTGTACTCATGCCAATAAACAATCCCAACTGTCCTCCTATGTCACCTGAAATCGAGAGAAACCATTTCAAATGATTTTTTTTAGTATATACATAAATCAAATGTTACATTTGTCTACATAGTGTAAATGCGTTTCCGTACAGACGGGTTCTAGCTTTGTATTAGTTATTGAATTTGTATATATTGCACAGCTAATGGTTTGAGTATATGAAGGAGTTCCTAAAAATATCTTTGAAAATTCATAGCTACGGTTCATTGCGCCTAAGAAAAATCAAATCCTATTGTTATTTGCACGTTTCCTCCATATTGGCTTTATTTTGTAGAAATATCAAAATAAAATACCAACTTACTGAGCAAACCAGATGGCGTCATGGCTGGGTTTTTCTTGGTCAGACGGTTGTTCAGATCTTTGTAATATATACTCAAGCCGACTAAATTTTCACTTAAAAACGAACAGAAAATACACATAGCACACCTGGTCAAAGCATTATCATTAACAAAGCACTTGTTATCCAGTACACAGTACTGTACCTACTTCTCAAACAAGTGGCGGTACCTATCCGATGCATTTATCTCTGATGTCACACTCACAGCCACAAGTTCTCGTACCTAGTCCATTCACGGCAATTTCAAAATCTTATGTGAGTGATATATACTGGTACTTGTATCTTTACTGTATATGTGATTTAAAAATGCTGTCGCGAGTTATCAATTTAATACAATTGTATATCAATATTCAATTTTTAAAATCGTACCTTGCATAATTTGCATTGGTTCCATACATCGAGGCCAGTTCTTGCGCCATGTAATAATTTGGAAACGGTGCATAACTCACTGTTGGGGGGTATTCAATAATTTGACAGGCTTCTGGGCACCGAGCACCACACTCTTTTTGAAAATTGGAGGCAACTTTAACTGAAAACAAGGTTGACTGAAAATAAGCTGTGGCATGGACCGGCAAACTTACGTCAAAGCAATAGTAAAAGGCTGTCAGGTATGTGTTGAAAATTTAGATAACACTTGCATGCGTGTATGCACATGTACGGCAGCATACACATACATGTATTGTGCCTATGATGACTATATATCAACTCGGCTTTACATATGTTACATACGTATGCCTTGTTTTAATATAGATGCATGAAATGCTCATTGATATTGTTACTTACAAATGGTAGGGTCTGCACAAAGCACTTGGTCAACGGGATTGCAATTAACTGCATTGCCTGCAAGAATACATAGGACCCTTTGTGTATATTAGGAACATATGGGGTTGGATTTCAGGTTTTAACTAACGCAAAATCACTTTCAACATTTACTTCATACGTTGTTTTAAATGAGACAATAATACGGGTCAATGTATTTTGTGTTATGAATGACAAATAAGACAAGCCATTAGAATCAAATGTTTCAAACAGCTGATAGTACCGAAAAACCACGTGCTTAACATACAAAAGTCGGAGTTACCGACATTATCCTATAATCTCTTTACCCAAGGAATATTTTACCTTGAATGAGCTAAATACCAAAAATTCCATTCAGGATAATCTTATCAATCATAACTAAATCAAAATTACATGACTCAGTCATCTACTTTTTCGTTTCTAGTACACATACTGTTGGTGTTCATGAATACATACCAGGATAGGAAAATGGCTTACATCCACATAATTCTAAAACTTTTTCTAGGTAGCATTCGACCTCACACCCACTTCTACTATATCTGGGAAAGTGTTTAAGGGTTCGGTCGTTACTGCAATTCCCCCACGGATGAGCCAAATTCTGAAGCTGATAATAAATAGAAAATAACGAGTTAGCAAACAGTAGTGCATGTACATCTGCATTTGTCACGCGTTTCATAAGGCACAGTAACAACATGAACACACAAACAGAAATGCGATTGCGTCATAAAGTTGAGGGACTGGCATATCATGCACAAAGCCGTAATTTTTTTCAACAACGTTTTGGATATGCTTAATCGTTATGGACGTACATGTCTTAAGATTCCAACCATTGACTTACCTCATTTTGATGCATGCTCACTAAGGCTGCTGTACCGACACCTGCACCAAGACCGTGTTGTGCCACATTAGGTCTTTCGTACCAGCTATGTATTTGAAAATCAATACCCACGCCCAGTGCGCCATTCAAACTTAAAAGCTCGGTGTATTCGGCCTGAAAATATTGTTTCATGGTCATATTTCTGATATTTATTGACCGACTTTAGAGGCCGGCTTGACAAAAGAGTTTTAACTGGAAAATTGGTCTAGCTCAGTTCAAGATAAATATAGTTTGACCTGAAACATTATCATATGTCTTTCCTGGCATAAAATGGGTGCAATCTTCAATTTATAGGACCGCAATTGGTTTATATGGGATAAAAGTAGACTAACTTGTAGACTCAAATTTTGGACATAAATTTTATAGCAATTTTGGGGCTAAAGTTCTGTTGTAAAGCAGGCCTCTGTATCTACATCCAATAATGGATAAAATAACGTTTTCACTATTTGCTTGCCCAAAGGTACTTGAATATTGAAAGAAAAGAACTATTATTCCATTGCCTCACAAATTTTGGGCAATCACCTAAATTCATAGCCAAAGAGACGAGAGCATGTATCATTATACTAGTGTGTGTATTTGTATACAGGCACAAACACTAGTATACTGGTAACTTTTATCGATACATATGTGCCAATTCTAATGAAGAACTTGGTACAATACCTGCTGAATATCAAACAGTATATACAATCCTTGCTGTGCCCCTGGTCTGGTTTGTTGTAGCGACAGACTGTCTTCATCATGATGAGAGTTGAACGTGTAACAGTTGCCATACTCCGATTGAAATGCGTGGGTAAAATTCTGAAAGAGACCGACGGATATGTGCTTCATTCGTGTTATACAAATTTAATACGAAATTTATGTAGTAGCAAGATCAAAGGATTTATATTGAAATTCGTTTTGGTGTCTCTTGTGTAATAATGGCAGAAATGTCAATCGTGTCTAAACAGAAAAAGCAAAAAAACGCGGCTTAATTTCACAAACGATTGTTTAACGATTGAAATGATTGTTTCATACACAAGACGTGCATTTTTAATGTTATAACTAATTTCAGTGATATCTTTGTTTGAAAATATTTAAATATTTCGTTTCTATGGCAATGAAACAAACGTTTCACAAATAAAACAAAAATGGGTGATATTGGTAATAAATCAATACCTAAATACCTTTTGATAAAAAGGAGACTGAGACAAAAAGAAAAAAATCATGATGGGGTTTAACGGTTTTCTCTGTCTTTTTTCTTTTTGTTACTTGCAAGAAGAATGTACCTCTGGAAAACACTGTTTCATTCGAAAGAGACATAATGGCATCGTTTCATTGTTGAGTTCCCAACCAATCCTCCTAGTGAAATTCCCGAAGTCAAAACCTCCTAAAAAGAATATGCCTTGTATGAAAATGTTTAAAATGTCAAAGTAAATTGATGTCTGCGGCTTATCAAAGGCCAATTTAAGTCCCCATTCCCATCTAGACACCATCGGGCGACCCAACTCCGCAGGGACTCTCGCTGACTGCAATCAGCTTCATTGAATGACATGCCTCCTCCTAGCATTAAGAAGACTACAGAAAAGCTTACGTTGGAAACAAAAGGAGGCGTGTCATTCAGTTAAGCTGATTGCAATTAGCGAGAGTCCCACGTAGACTGACGGTGTATTTGGGAATGGGGTCAAAGGATATATAGATAGACTGTGTGACAAAAAATGAATAAATAAGTAGGATAAATATTTATGTTTCAGAATGAAATAAAATATAGATAAGTTGATAAATAAATAGACAGGCAAATTGGTGGATAGTTATTCGAAATTGACTAATTAATTGACTAATTTAACTGTCATTTAGCATGCTAGCATTCTTAAGAAATACAAGTAAAAATTACGCAGGATTAGTAAAAAAGAAACAATTTATAAATATTTATACCTGGGTATGTTGCCGTTAGATTGGCCTCAAACCCTTCAAACGCTGCCCTTAATGCGGCTGTGGCTTCCGGATCATAATCTGCCTCAAAAGCATATTTCTCCGCCAGTTTAGAGTTAGCATAAATATACCAGTCTAACGCCGTCATGGCGGATCTTCTGTATCTTAAGTAGATAATTACACAAGTGATAAATTAATAAAAATAAATAAATAAACAAATAGTAAATAGGTCTTAAGTTCAGACAACAAATATTCTAGCTCTGACCATGGTTTGATGATGAATCGCTTTTCGAAAGGTAGAGAAGCGATTAGATAACTCGAACTACATGACTTTTAATAACATTATCACTTCCTAAACCAGCAGGATGACATGCGCTATTGACATTCTAATTTTTAAATGGTGATGGATAACTCATCCGGGTTTAACTGTTAAAACAATATCTTAGATCATTCTTCTATTCCAAAAGTATGAAGATATGTGCATACGGCACAATGGGCAGACCAGTCACAGGTATTTAAAATATATTATGACCAGTCTAGTCATCCACTCACATTGGTATTGATAAAATAAATTATATATCTAAAATAAATAGGCCTACATTGTGAAACATATTTTGTCGATAGTTATATAAGCGACAGAGAAATGAACTTACAGCTCAACCTCAACCTATTGTTGCTGCCTCAAACATCAATTAAACCCTGTCTATTAATTAATTTATGTTCTTTGCAGGATTTGTTGTATTTGCACTTACGTATCCAGGAACTTGTACAAGGACAGCTTTAATTAATGCTATTTGCCATCATTGACGATTTTTCACTCTGTTTAGATACCAGTATTTCGTCGAAGCGAGCGTTTCTTCTCTTTTTCTATATATAGTGAAATATAAATTATTGAAAACAACAGGTGTATTAATAAACGAAAGGGTAATATTTTTATCTAGTGTAAAAATTCAGTTTTAAATCAGGTCAAATCAGGGAAATGTACATCAACCGATTTTTGTTAACTGTTTCATTCAAATTCATTTTTCAGAGTTTCTTCTAAAATTGATTATTTATACAATCTCCTCATACTCTGAAAGTTGAAAACTTTTTTTTAACTATTTCAGATTAACATCTTTATTTCGTGTTCAAAATGTAAAGAGAAATCGTACAAATCTTACTTGGGCTTTGGCAAAAATAAAAGCAGTTCTACAACCTAATCAGCCTATATTTTGTGTTGGTTATTTGAGTTTAATAATAAACCTTTTACTAGTCAGGACGGAGGGGACACAGAAGACTGTTCGTCCTGATTTAATTCAGTAAAAATGTGTTGACTAAATAAAGCGACTCGAGATCCGGGTACAAATATATAGAGACAATTGAGCTCAATGTCAATATTTCACCAGTTAAGAACAGCCATCATCAGTTTCAGAGTACTTAAAGTCCAATAAAAGCTCTAACGAATTAAAAACAAATAGCAGAATCGATGGGTTACAATGTCAATATTGTGTCACTTTGGCTTGAATGAACGTGTAATTTAATCAAACTCAAGTGGAAAGGAGAGCCTAAAATAGAAGAGCCTACCTATTAAACAACCCTTAGCACATAAAATGTCTGGGTATGACAATCAAGGAATCTCCCCTCCCCCCTTTTGCTTTCCTCACTGGTACACGCACGCACTCACGCGCGTTTTGAAAGCTTTTTTGATATTAATATGAATGAAAGTAACCGAAGGCATCGTTTTTTTCTCACATTATATTAACACATGTGAATAGGCCTTTTAACATCACTTATCATATTCAAGCTACTTAGGGTACGTAAAACTGGATGTCTCGTCCCGAGTCCGTTAGAAATTTACAGGTGAGGGTAAGTGTGACATGAGTAGTCCAAAACCAGGACTGGGCTCATATGTAATTTACAATTATATAAGAACAGGATTCTCTGTCATGGGGGTTACTTTAGTAAGTGATACCGTTACAGCTATAAAGTTAAAATATAACGCTCGACGGTGAAAATGTCTTTAGTTTTGAATAACTGCCTACATAATTTATGACTCTTTCGGTATCATTTTGCCACTGAATCAATTCTGATACGCTGTGAAATAAATATCATTTCCCAAAATGCAGCTGTGTAATATTATTCTTATTTAAACAACAGTCATTAATACTGTCGGTATGTTTACCTTTCTTATAGAAAGATTTGTGATCAAGAACAATTCTCTTGTTCAAACAGAATGCACTAGAGGTTTTTATTCAGTCGCATGATTGTAAATACAAAGAGTAGTTACTATACGCATTGCCATACTTGTGTGTTTTGTTTAAACATGACCCATATAATATTGACTTACCTGTGCGAGCATATACCAAGATTAGTGGACTGTCACGTACATTTTATGATTACAAGCTTACCATTGTAATCACAATGTATATCTTTCAAACTCATTAAGGAAAATATTTATTACACCTTGATTGTTGGTCGCCATACTATCGGAGAAAAAAATGAGAGCGTGACGACGAAAATGAACGTACTTCTTGGTCGGCAAGAGATTATGAACTACTTTTTAGGCTAACACAACCCTCATAGACTATCGGTTACATACAGCACACTTACTTGTTAAAATTGCAAAACGTCACCGCGGGAAACTCGAGCGCATATTTCTCTTCCACTCTGATTTCTGTGCTTGTCTCGTACTTAAAATAAGCTTCAATCCGACTGGAAATCATCCAGGTGGTCATCCCAAATCCCCAGAGAATGGCCACTGTCCAGAACGCCCGATGAGGCCATTTCTTAGCAACGGCCAGGCGGTTAAAGCCATGGCAGGTGGTACCGGATGCAAATTCTGTCTCAAGAGACTCGCCTTCTCCTTTTCCCATTTTGAGTGTCGTTTACACCAAGAGATCAGAACACAGTCCTTATTAATCAGAGTTAACTACGTATATGCACACGCTCGTGTTGATGGTATATTATGTTGCCCAGCTTCCTATGCAACCACGTGCGTACTTGTTTGTGTATTAAATCCCGCACTTAATTCTGATGTTAAATTGAGAAGTGACAGACTTCGCAAATGTGAGTCTGCGCAGCAAAAAAATGAAACTATTCTAAAAAACTAGTTCCTTCTTGCGAGTCTCTCTGCTTCCTACCACATGTGATGTGATGGAATTTCTCTTAATATCGATAGACGCTCTATTGCCTAATACGGATTAAAACTCGAGTATATTCCGAATACAATCATTAAACACTCGGCGCTGAATATATATATACACCTGCATTTGGGAACACATCCGCACAAATTCAAATATTCCCGGGAGAGATCAATATAACAATATTGTTATTCCACGCAAATACGCGTTACTCACCTATTCGATATAATGGTTACGATACGACTAACTAAATGCAAACAGTGTTGTCAAGAGATATACAGGTATGCTTGACAGTGTTTAAAGATGAGCTTAGTGCTTCATGGGCTTACTGGACACGAAATGGCGGTATTTGGTTTCTTAGAGAGAGTGCTATGTATGACACTGGTAATACGGCTACTCTAACAATAGCCGTTGTAATAACCTTCGTTTTCTGAGATAGATATATTGTAGTTAACAACACTCTTTTTCTGTACCCTGCATACCAATCACAATTTCTGTTATTTTGAATTTACACCGTGAGAATCTTTACGCATAGATTTAAAATAGAAGTGGAGAGTGACATCCACGTCCTTTGTTTTAAAATTTTAGACAGAAAACATTTTAATGTAGGCCTATACAACACAGAGACATTTGTATTTTTAAAAAGTTTTTAAATTTTTTCTTTGTTTTTTATTGCTTTACACGCAGAAGATCCCAGCTCAAAACCGGACAGAACCAGTATTGTGGACAATGGGTATATTTATTAATATCAATATTGTACAGATTCAATCGCCAAAAAAATGTGCTAAAGAAAAGGGTTCTTAGTGCAGTGGTGATCATGCCTACTTAACATGCAGAAGAACCCAGGTTCAACCTTTTTAGTGCTGCGTACAAGTTACATTTATTATCGCAGTTTATGCAGAGTAATTTTTTTTTGTTAACGGATTGATTGTTGTATACAATAATATAATAAATAGTTTGTTAAAACATAACAACCAAAAGGTTATAGTAAAAATGAATTAGAATAAACTATTCGAATTAAAATATCACATGAAATAAAGGAACCAGTCAGGGAACCAGTCCTGGATGCGTTAGTTTCTTTTCCCACCGTTTGTTATGAGACGACCCCTGGCATTGCGTCATCTCGCGCAAAGCATGTCGGTATCTCAAAACGATAAACTCGACATGCAAAATTATAAAACGACTTTGCAGAAAATACTTTTCTCTCAAAATGATGAAAGTGACGATCTCAAAATGATGTTAGCACCTCGCAAAAAAAAAAAAATGGTCAAAATGATACTTTCACCTTTTTTGTACAAAGGCTTCTCATCACTGTATGCAGACCTTGCATTACTGCAGTGTGCGAACGAAGTTTATTACCAATATTTTAATAAGATATCTTAAAAGATGTTCTTAATTGGCTGACCTGGTTACAAGCGATGATAAATATAAAAAGAGACGCAATATATCCAAGCACTGTGGGTAGCCCAGCAGTCGCCAAATGACGTCCAACAGACTTTGATCGGTCCCACAGGCAGANATCTCCTTTGAGGCACATGTTGCTACTTATACCATGGGGCATCACTGCCTGGCCTCATTTTGCTTGATTCATTCTGTTCACGCGCATGATACAATTAAGCTACAAGTTATCTCAAATCTGCAACTGAAATCTTCAGTTCAAAAAATTTCATTTTACCTCTATGAGAACTTTCCAGCAGTTCACTCGATCTGTTGAAGCGTACAGTGACAGATTCTGCACAACTTCAAGCATAGTGGGGGCCTCTTTGCAACCCCACAAATGAAATTTGTGCAAAATTGTTGGTAAATAATAACTTTTGCTGACTCGTCGCATCATAATTTTTAGGATGATGAGTCTTATTGAATATTTGATATATAATTTTTATCCCTAAGGCCATAACATTTAATACAGGCAACAATTTGCTACATTGTTATTATTGTTAAAACGATAACGATAGAGGGGTTTTATAATAAAAGCGGCCTGGTTTGGCCAAATCACGAACAAACAATATTCCTTGTTGCCTTCTTTCTTGCTATGAATGAGACTATAAAAGTTTGTGGTACACTGAGATGGAGGAGACATAAAGGGGACTTAAGGCATTATACTCAAGTGGACATAACCATCAGAAAACCACAATGTTGAGCGGTTAATCAGGTTTGCATACACGTAATCGGTTACTGCGTGCACTGTAAACAAACCGGGCACTTAAATTAGCGTTGAGGTCGCATGACACTGTACTGTACACCGGATTCGTATAACAAAGATCACCGCATTAGAAACTGAAAACAAAAATGAAGTTTGACGAGATACTGGAGCACATTGGAGAGTTTGGCAGGAGTCAGGCTTGGGTTTTGTGCCTGCTTTGTATCCCACAAATCAGTGTCGCCTTGCAGATCGTTGTGGTGGTGTTTATGCAGGAGACTCCTGACTACAGGTGAGACGATTTAATGAAATAACTGTAAATATACACACGTGCTCTAACATATTCTCGCAGCTGCATGTAGCAGGACATGCTAAAAAATCTCAGCAAATTTTGGTGCCGCGTGACAACCGCGTTGCTGCGGCGCTGTTATGTGACACATATAGCCACGTGGTCCTACCTGGAATACTCAGTAGGTGTGTTTTCTGGGATACAAGAAGAGAGAGAGAGAGAGAAAAGAGAGAGACGTGTATGTTAGTTTAGCCTATTGGAACAGAGGATGGATAACTATATAGGCTACGTGTCGTCCTTGCACACACACACACACACACACACGCGCGCGCGCGCGCACACACACAAACGTCGTCCACGTAGTTTTTCTTTGCATACCTTTTAACCTTTACAATCAAGTCATAAAATTATATTTGTCTGAAAACAAATAAGAGGATCATTAGAGCTATGACACAAATACACATAACAAATCCAGGTCTACCCAACTACCAGACGCAGCACCGAGGGATCCAGAATTCAACGGTAGATCGGATCGCGCCACCGGTTTTCAGGGAGTCTGGTCTGAGCGTGCACGGTCTGAGTATCTTTGGTCTGAGTGGAGATGGATGTTACCCANGAATGGATAACCATGTAGGCTACGTGTCGTCCTTGCACACACACACACACACGCGCGCGCGCGCACACACACCAACGTCGTCCACGTAGTTTTTCTTTGCATACCTTTTAACCTTTATAATCAAGTCATACAATTATATTTGTCTGAAAACAAATAAGAGGATCATTAGAGCTATGTCACAAATACACATAACAAATCCAGGTCTACCCAACTACCAGACGCAGCACCGAGGGATCCATCTAATTCAACGGTTGATCGGATCGCGCCACCGGTTTTAAGTGAGTCTGGTCTGAGCGTGCATGGTCTGAGTATATCTTAGGACTGAGTGGAGATGGATGTTACCCAGACTGAGAGTCACATGAGTTAGTACATTCCTGGGCTCCGTATCTCGAAAGGTTCGCTATGTTGCGCACGAGCGTTAGTGTCTCGATTCCATAACCGATTCTGTTTCGAGATACGGGGCTATGGAATCAAGACACTAACGCTCGTGCGCAACATAGCGAACCTTTCGAGATACGGAGCCCTTGGCTACACTTGAATGGCATAGTGAGCAGTAATCAGATGTGTTATCTTATTTATCCTATAGAACACACTGTACTAGACGCCGAATTACACTGTAATATAACACAGAACGTTATACCAGAGGTGGTACCACCGCTCTAGGCAAAAGGAGAATAAACTAACCACCGAAGAAAACCAAAAATGAAGTTCGACGAGATACTAGAACACATTGGAGAGTTTGGCAGGAGTCAGGCAAGGATTTTGTCCCTGCTTTGTATCCCACAAATTAGTGTCGCCTTGCAGATCGTTGTGGTGGTGTTTCTGCAGGAGACCCCAGACCACAGGTGAGACGATTAAATTAAATAATTGCAAATATACACACGTGCTTAAGCACACTCTCGCCGCTACATGTATATGTAGGTGCACATGGACATACCGGTTCGATATACAAATCTCAGTACATTTTCTGGTACCACGCTGCGACCACGTTTCTACCACGCTATAATGTGTGATGGCTACCTGGGCATAGGAGGCGTTATTTTATTTTATTTATTTATTTATTTATTTTTTTTTTTTTGGGGGGGGGGGGTACAAGGAGAGAGAGAGAGAGAGAGAGAGAGAGAAACCTGAATGTCAGTTAGGTTATTTGAAAACGGAACAGAACACCATGCATTCCTCGGCAATGATTACGTGTCGCCTTTTCACACATACGGTATACACAAAAAAGACCCGCGTTGTTTATCTCTGCATACATGTTTACCGCTATTACCAAGTCGTAAAATATAATGTATTTATCTGAAAACAAAGAATAAGGTCTTTCGTGCTATGACACAAATACATATAACAACTAGAAAAGGCAATATGATTTAATGATCCTTAAGATATCTTTTTATTCCGCCCAAGCACAGGTTTTATGCCATCTCCTAGCTAATTAAATCACAAGCGACAGTAATTGTGCTAAAGGAACCTTCATCACGGTTGAGGACCAAAGGAATTTAAATTCAAACTATAAAATAATGCACTTTAAGGTTAATGTTAATGTGTGAAATACATGTTAAAATTCTTGCCATTGCATCCAAAGGACAATAACAGCATACATTATATTGCATCAATTGTCTCTCGTCGACAAATATAAATTGATAAGCAACTGTATGTTAGTATCTTAGTTGCCGGTCTTATGGCACTGAGAGTAAAAAGTGATTACATTTAATAAAACTAAACATAAATAATGATATTATTAACTATAATAATAAAAAAAACAATCAACAAATGAATAAAACCGACTTATCCCCCGGAGAGAGAGAGAGAGAGAGAAATTTTATGTTTTTCAAAACAGGTAAAAATTTGATATTAATCAAATTTTAATTAAAATCATTCCGAAATCGTAGACTATAGTTTAAGGTGGAGGTAACAGGTGGCGTACTCCCAAAAGAACATTTACTTACCATCACACCACTTTATGTAACATCGGGAATCTATTAGCGCCAGTTGTGCGTTCTTGTCACCATAAATAATTATGCCTATAAAGATATAAAAATGTCCGGTTACATGTGCATTTGCAATTCAGCATAAGAGAATTATAGGACGAAGGTAATAATGGTTCGTATAACGTAAATATAATGCAGAACGTTAGGCCAGAGGTGTGCATCTCCGATCTAGTAAATGGAGAAGAAATTAAGAAAACAGAAATGAAGTTCGGCGAGATAATAGAGCACATTGGAGAGTTTAACAGAAGCCAGGTTTGTTTATTGTATAACTTAAAACAAAGGGGGGGGGGGGGGGGGAAACAATTATACAGTAGTATTTTACCTATATCCTACATTTAAACCTGGCCTTTACCGAATACATTTGCATTTCAGATAGATAGTGTTAGCTACTCCATAATACCCATTTTTAATTTATATTAATATGATATGAAAGGATGTCTTTTGGTATTTCTGCAAGTTGTACTATTTGAAACCATATGGTGGCCTTTGGTTCGGTTTCGTGGCAAAAAAGGTGCAATTTAAATTTAATTATATACCATAGAGATACACGTGTCCTGTTTTAGGTGCAGTCTTCCGGCATTGGTGAATGATACTTACCTCGTACAAAACTCATGGCACGAGGATCTGGTGAACCTTACTATCCCAATCAATGACAAAGATGGCGGCTACGACAAATGTAGCTACTACCGGCAAACCGACTACGGGAACAAAACGTTAGCTGAATGCGACACTTGGGTGTATGACACATCGGTCTTCTCGAAGACGTTCCCAATGGACGTGAGTATTTGCACACATTAAGGCTGGTGTACATGTGCATGGAATTGTTCTGAATATGCACATGGGTTCAATGTATCCTATCCAAAATTTTCCATCCAAGTCAAATTTTTTCCTACTCACAAACCGGCGCCTTTTGATGAGTTTTTATTGTTATAAGAATTGAGTACACTGGGAAAGATAAGTAGCTTTGTACAATATTCAGACCAAATATGACACTCGAGCAAATTTAAAACACCGAATTATATAGAACTACAATTTAATTCACATCCGAGGAAGATTATTTATGATTGAGTGGTTTTGTTCAACAATGCTATGCCAATTATATTCTTCTGCCTCTCCCAGCACTCTGTCCATCTTTACACCTCTCATATACTCATATTCCAATGGTTAACTGTATAGTTTCAGTTGGTGTGCAAGAACTCATTCAAGGTCCGTAGTATCCAAGTCATCTTTTTGAGTGCTGTTCTCGTAGGATCTATAATTGGAGGAATTTTAGCTGACTAGTAAGCTGATATATCACTCTTAAAGTATTTTAAACTCCTTTTTTAGGATTTCTTTTTTTCATTTTTGAGTGCCCGCATTAGTGCATGCGCAATGGCTCGTTCCCGTTACGTAGGAAAACCTACATGTACAGTACACGTAGCTTTTTAAGTTTGAAATTGAAGTGAATGATTTTAAAATAATTTAAAATCCATGGAGCAAATTGTTATATTAAGAATTACCACGCCAACTATTTTTTAATTTAATTATATAAGAATACCAAAAAAAAAAAAAAACAAAAAGCAAAAAAAAAAAAAACAAACATTAAATGATTTTTTTTATAAAGTGAAAAGTGTTCTAACCTTCATACTAAGATATAATACCTATTTATTTCAGCTGTGGTCGTAAGCCTGTACTTCTCGTATCCTGTCTTCTCCATGCAGGAGCAGGAGTGGGTGCTGCTTTCTCTCCAAATTACACTGCTTTTGCCGTCTTCAGGTTTTTGGTTGGATTGGCCAGTCCCAACATATTCGCATCGGCGCTGGTGCTCGGTAAATAAAACAAATAATGCCTTCGTTATCTCTTTAATGCAGCGTATTTCCTCTTGTATTAACCAATGCTTTAACTGTTTTGATCATAGGCCTATCCCATATGTTTAATATTTTAAAGACCATTTTAAAGGTATCATTTCATAATGTTTAAATCCGAACCCTAAAGATAGCTCTTGGACTGAAGGTTTTTTATTGACAATTTATTTATTTATTTATTTATTTATTTATTTATTTATTTATTTATTTATTTCAGCCTTGGAACTTGTGGGCCCAAGTAAACGTATGGTGGCAGGTTTAGCTCCAGAATTTGCCTTCTGTACAGGCTTGGTACTTCTGACACCTCTTGCTTACGGCATACGGGACTGGCGATATCTTCAACTCGCTGTATCTGTCCCTTCCTTCCTGTATATTTTTTTATGGTGGTGAGTATAATCTCGTAAAATAATTCATCATATGATGACCAGTTACGCATCTTCAACTCTACCTTATGGTTTGGGACGAACAAAACGCGCCTGCAAATTATTAGAACACTGAAGGCATATGAATCATATAATAGATGGATGGCATCAATATATTTGCCTTAAACGCCTTAACACATCTTGACAAATTACGTTCAGTTCTACTTCTCTGATGTTGTGGACCCTACATACAGAATTTAAAAAAATACATTAGTTATTCGGCTTGTTTTTACGACCTGATGGCTTTTTCTGATTCTTTTCGTGTAGGCTCATACCAGAATCTCCTCGTTGGTTACTAACAAGAGGTCACACAGAGAGGGCAGAGAAAATCTTACGCTGGGCCGCCAAGGTGAACAAGAAAACCCTTCCTGCCACGATTTTTGACGAGAAAACACTTGATAAAACGGAGTATGTGAGCCCGCTGGAGATGCGCAAGACTCCAAGGCTCCTTCTACGGACTTTGCTTGGAATGTTTGTTTTGTAGGTTTAGCATTAGTGTGTGAAAGGTATTATAACTTGATTTTACCACTATGATCAATAACAAGGATGGCAGTGTTTACCCCTATATATACATGTAGTTAAGCAG